AATGGAGACGTTACTGGCACCCGCTCGAGCAAATCGACGACTAACGGAAAGTTAAGTGATTAAATGACATGTTGGAGCCCAAGAAGACAGTACTTGCTATGCATGCGGCCAACCCCAGTTTGATCACCAGCACCACATATTGTTCTGTGAGCACTGCTTGGTGTGGTCCAATAACAAACAAAATTAAATTGTAACACGCTTGTAAATCCATGTCTCTAATTGCATAGCTTTAGGTATTAGCATATATAATGTAAACTTTTTATAAGCTAAGGCAAACATAGTAAGTTTAACAACTACCACTGATTTAGCTTTAGTTTTTTATAGGTTACTAAAACCAATGATCTGTAATAAACATCAAAACTAATCCCCAGACTTTGAAAACTGCTGGTTGCCAGAGGGAAAGGAAAAAGGAATAGAAAGAATGAATGAAGATCTTTATGGTGAAGGGTGCAGAGAGTCATATACACATACAGAATTGATAAACTATATTCCTAAAATTCCATAGTATTTTAAGCACTGTAGCACTGTCCTCCCATTGTTCATCGATTTACTTGAGAAGGCCCAGTAACATCTTCATTGTGAGACTTGTTGTTACTGTGTTTGGCATATTGAATACGTCACGGGTAGCTTGCCAGGCTTTGCCTTGAGGGCGAGATACTCTTGGTAGCTTGCCGGGTTCTCAGAGAAGGGCGGAGGAATTGAACCCGGCTCGGCTGGGCCGGCCGCTTGCAAGGCAAACGCCCAAACTGCTGTGCTATTGCTCTGAAAAAAGGTTAAGGTATCATCTCACACCTCAGAGACTGGCCCACATTCAAAAGAACAAAAGCAACCGATGCTGGCGTGGATGTGGCGAGAAAGGGACACTCCTTCACTGTTGGCGGGAATGTCCACTGGTTCAGCCCTTCTGGAAAACAGTATGGACGATTCTCAAAAAATTAGAAATTGAGCTCCCATTTGACCCAGCAATACCACTCCTGGGAATATATCCCAGAGAGGCAAAAATGTATAGTCGAAGTGACATCTGCACTTGTTTGTTCATTGCAGCACTCTTTACAATAGCCAGAAACTGGAAGAAACCTGAATGCCCAAGAACAGATGACTGGTTAAAGAAACTTTGGTACATCTACACAATGGAGTACTATGTAGCTCTTAGAAAAGATGAAGTCATGAAATTTACATACAAGTGGTACAATATGGAAAGTATCATGCTAAGCGAAATGAGTCAGAAAGAGAGGGATAGACATAGAAAGATTGCATTCATCTGGGGGATATAAAGTAACAAAGTATGAGATTAATACCCAAGAATAGCTGAGATCAGCACCAGGAGGATTACTCCATAACTTAGAGGCCAGCCGGGTATCCTAGAGGAAAGGGCTGTTCAGATAGAGAAGGGAGCACCAAATAAAGGATGTTTGGAGGATCCTCCCAGGAGGGGAGATGCATGTCGAAAGTAGACTATGGACTGAACATGTTTGCCACTCAATGCCTCTTTTGCAGACCACAACACCCAAAAGGAGAGAGAGAACACAGGGGATTGCCCTGCCACAGAGACAGGGGGGATGGGGGGATGAGGGTGGGAGGGATATTACCCATGGTGGTGGAAAATGGGCACTGGTGGAGGGATGGGTATCTGATCATTGTATAATTGAAACCAAAGCACAAAAAATTGTAAATCTACAACTTTAAAAAAAAATAAAATAAAATAAAGGGGAAAAAAAAAAGAAAGATTGCATTCATCTGGGGGATATAAAGTAACAAAGTATGAGATTAATACCCAAGAATAGCTGAGATCAGCACCAGGAGGATTACTCCATAACTTAGAGGCCAGCCGGGTATCCTAGAGGAAAGGGCTGTTCAGATAGAGAAGGGAGCACCAAATAAAGGATGTTTGGAGGATCCTCCCAGGAGGGGAGATGCATGTCGAAAGTAGACTATGGACTGAACATGTTTGCCACTCAATGCCTCTTTTGCAGACCACAACACCCAAAAGGAGAGAGAGAACACAGGGGATTGCCCTGCCACAGAGACAGGGGGGATGGGGGGATGAGGGTGGGAGGGATATTACCCATGGTGGTGGAAAATGGGCACTGGTGGAGGGATGGGTATCTGATCATTGTATAATTGAAACCAAAGCACAAAAAATTGTAAATCTACAACTTTAAAAAAAATAAAATAAAATAAAGGGGAAAAAAAAGATGATAAAAAAAAAAGCTAAGGTATCAAAAACTAAGCTGCATTGGTGGCATTTGCTTAAACTTACTACACTTGCCTTATAAAAATTTGGCATTATGTATGCTAATAATTTAGGCTATACAATTAGAAACATGGATTTACAAAGCATGCTATAATTTATTTTTGTTTGTAATTGGACCACAATCTTTAGAGTTGAAGAGATAGCTCAACGGACTGAGAGCATACTTTGGTTGCAGGAGACCCAGGTTCAACCACCAGCTCCACTTGATCCTCTGAGCATTGCAGGAAGTGTCTCTCAAACACAGATATGTGAGTAGTCTCTGGATGTGTTACAAAAACCAAAACAAGTTTCAGCCTTCGAATATAATATAGAAATATTAAAATTCTAATTATTGGATAATTCAAGGAAAAGGTGACTATAGAGAATAAAAACGTGCTCAGATATAAAAGCAAATGAAGTAAAATATTAATAGTAAATGAATTTGAGAAACAGATTTATGGGCACTTTGTACTTAAGCTGGAAAAATTTCTATAAAGTTTGAGATAAATTCTAAAAAAGAAAACTAAATTAAGAAAGGAACATGAACCAATACCATGACATCAGTTGGAGTTGACAGTATTACTTGGAAATAAATACATACCTTGGATAAAATTGCAGGGAGTACAGTAGTTTATTTCTTTTTTTTAGCTTAATAACAAAAAAGCCAGCATAAATTTTTTTGTAAATGTTATTTCCTCCTGGGAGTTAGCCTTAAAATATAACTAACTCCTGTTAAATTACTCCTTTCCTTATGCAGACTATTCACTGTCCTTGATTTCGCAGAGTACTGTCTTATTTTGTTCAAGTCTGCACAGGGTTCAAACTGGAGACTTCAGGGGGCAGAGAGATAGTAAGTACGGTGGATAGGGAACTTGCCCACCCAGGGCTGCTGATTCAGGATCGATCTCTTCATCCCGTATGGTCCCCCAAGCACCTCCAGAACTAATTCCTGAGTGCAGAGACAGGAGTAACCTCAGAGCATTGTTGGGTGTGGCCCCAAAAACAAACAAAACAAAACCCTGCAAACTTTATTACTCATCTCCAGCTGCTCTGGACCTGGCCATGTTCTATTGACGTTGCTGGCAAATGGCCTCTGAATCTTTTATCGGAGACCTAAAACTGTGTCTTTAATTTTTTGTGTTTGTGAGAAATGTTCAGTGCTAGGATCTACAATCAGATCAACGACAATTTCAGTTTGGTAAGAAGTTGCAAGTGCATGTCTTTATCATGATAGGATCTTTAAGGGAAAAATTGCAGGATATGCCATTTTTACAACCTCAAATTTCTAGGTTTTAAAGAGTTCAAAGGTTAATATAATGTGTTTCTGTCTCATAGTGGTGGAAAAGCAAACATGCCATCAATAACACAAACTCATCAATAATACAAAATAAAATATTCCAATTAAAAGTCATTTATTATTATTATCATCAGCAGCATTATAATAGCATAAAATTAAATCCCCCAATGAAAGAAAACAAAATAACACCCCAAAGGCATGTGTCTTACTGACAGTGAGCCAATGACATTATTTTCATATACAAGGGACAGCACCCTGAGGATAAAGACAATATCACAGTATGGTAATCAATTTAATAATCCAGTCAACATTATTAAGCACCTAGGCACAATGAGATATTTTTAAATGCATACAATAATCCCTGCTTTCAAAGAGGTTAATTATGTAGGAGGTATTGAAAAACCAAGAACACAGAGCCACATGTATCAGTGATGTAATGGAAGTGCCATGAATTAAGTCTTCATGGAGAGGGGGATCACAAGAGACCAATGAAATATTCAATTGTGAGAAATCAAAAGAGACTCTATAGAGAAGCAGACATCTAAGCTGGTCTTTGAGAAACTGGAAGGATGTCAACGGACTGACATTAGGAGAAGGGGAACTACAGGTGGAAAACAGGGTAGGCCAAAGCAAGGCCACGGGAAGTTTGTGGCATGCTTAAGGAGAGAACAGTCATGTTTGGCCAGTAAATTTGATAGATGTAAATGGGTAGGAGTGATATGACAAAATGCTTCAAGTTATATGGGCTCATATTTTGAGTGACTCTAACCAACAAGTTAATATTTCTGATATTATGTATACATGACTGTTATTTATATAATTATGTGCACAGCAATGAAGTAGAATTATTTGTGAAAAGATATGGTCATTTCACTTCCCTTGTTTCTTCGAAGAACTCAAGTAGTTCTAGACCTTTCTAAAAATGTCCCAGTATATATAGTACCAAGAAACATAGTAATTTTTTTCTATTTTTCATGCAATTAAATCTCTTCTCTCAAAGTCCATTATTTTCATCCATTCAGGGACCATCCTCTTCCCATTTCTGCCTCCAGCTCACTAGTTTTTTCAGCTTATCTGTTGAGCTGAGTTAAATTTAGGGTTTTGAGTCACAACTACCATCATGAACCCAGGACCCACACAGCTATGAGAAGTGATAAGTCGTGGTGGTAGGGGTAATACAAGATGTAATGAAAATGTAGTAATGTGCGATGTTCTATGGATTTCCAATTCTAAGAGTCAAGTTTAAAATTGTTCTTGGTTCTTTACTGAGTTTTCTCTAAGGATAACTGTAGGGCTCCCAGAACTCAGAGTGCTTTATTAAGGTTTCCTCTGAATTATTCTAGAGCTTTCTCTGGAATTTCCTCTAAGGAATTCCTTAGAGGAATAAACATTTCATCTGGATTACAAGTTACTTAAAGACCTCCAGTTCCTGAGGCTATTGAAGCTGTGAATAGATTGAGGCGACTTTCTTTCTAAGGAATCCTATTGGGTTTTGTCTGTGTGCCCAACCAGACTGGTAGTTGGGAATTTCTTATGGTCATTGACAGTTCAAAGAGGATAAAGAATGACTGCATTAAGTACCCAAATCAAATAAGTAAACTATTCAGACCAACCTAGGAAGGCGTAGAACAACAAAGTTGTCATGACCATACATCTTATAGCTAGAATATCTTACAGCTCTTTCTTAGAATGAGACCTCCTCTGCAGGAAGTCATGGATAGCAGTAGTGAGTCCCCATGTCACACTAGACCTTAGAATAACCAGGGAGCCACCACGGTAGATCAGGAGTACCTTTCGGCCCCGAGTGTCCCATACATCCTGGGCTGAGGCCCACAGGCTTGGCATACTCTGCCAGCCAATATGGGACTGCATATTGGCAACTAACACAATAAGTGGATACAGAACTAGGCAGGTGATCGTTCCATTGACACCCCCAGACACCAATGCAGGAACCCAATGGGGCAGGCCTTGCTCTGCCAACCCATCCTGGATGGGGTCCTTGAAGGAGAAATACAGAGCACTCCCCAGGCTGTTTCTGACAAGGACAGGCCAGAAGCCACGATAGTAGCCTAGTGAAAGCCGACCCCAAAGCCCATAAGAGTTGAATTCCTTGAGAATGCTGAAGGTGCTGGGGAACTGGGCTTGTTTGCGACCATCCTGCAGCACATTTTGCACTCTTTCAAATGGGCTGAGTGCCACAGCCTCCACCACACCAGACATGAGCCCTGCAGCCCAGCGGTGTCCCAGGGAGTGTGGCCCAACAGGGGAGAGAGAGCACAACATACTATCATAAGTCCCAAACAGGAGAGTCCCTTGCAAAGTCTTGGAGAGGAGCGGTGGGTAGATTCCACGGTAGAAGTATTGAGGGCCTTCATGCCAAAGCATTCTCACAGCCTCTGACACTGCTACAGCATGAATCTGTTGCCGGAATACAACTTTATAGATAGGAAAGGTCAGGAAAGTAGACATAAAATTGGAAACAGCCCCAAGGGCGTAGGCTTGGGTGTGCCAACTTTTCTTTCCTGGAGCTTCTACTCGTGTCCTTTGCTGAAGCTCCTTCCCTGGAGATTGGTTCTGTTCCCCCATGCTGAAGATAACTGGGTGCAAATGGAAGAAACTGGCAAGAGTGGAAAAAAGTGGTTAGACTGACCATTAAATTTGTTAGTAAGCATTTAAGTTGTTTAGTTTGAAACAGAGCCTCAAGAAACTCAGCTCTTGAACTGCTTTCTGATACTCAGATTCATTAGGAATTAATCAATCATAAATTAAAATGAACAGTTTCATTGAACAATGATTGCTATAGTGTTTTTGTTGATGCAACAAATATGCAATATCCAAAGGTTTAAGACTTTATAAGTGTGATTGAGGAAGGAGGGCCCCAAAACCTACTATATTCAACTTCTACCACATGAAAATGTGTATTTGATAAACTGTTAGAATACTAAGTTGATGTTCTCTAAAACATAGCATTGTATTGGAGATAATAAAATTCCAAAATTGTAGCCCAATACTTACTCTAAAAGTTGGTAATAAATTTGAGAAGCAGGGAATATCCCTTGTCAAAAATCATTCAATAGATTCTTGACAACGTTATTGCCATTTTATGGCAATGCCTTGCCCCATCTCCCAATTGAGAAACAAAGAATCACTGTTCCTAGTTCAGCACCTAGTTCAAACTCGCATATCCCTGGCAATTTCTAAGCCTAATCTTTAGACCTGAAGCTATAGAGATACATTTAGAGAATAGTTGATATTAATCTTGACACAATTTTCTAGGTAATTTTTTGTAGTTGGTGTCTGGAAAGTGCCTCTCCTCACCGTGTGCCAGTAGTACCACAGTTCTGATTTACCCAGCTATAACAACTAAGTACCTCAGACATTGCCATATGTCCCTTGAGGCAAAACTGGCCCTGGTTCAAAACAATTTTAGTAGAAGGGGGGAGGCAGTGTCAAGAATTCAATTTATTACTCTTGCCTCAGAAAGGTGCGGGATCAGGTGGGGCAATTGGGACTTAAATGAGGAAGTTAGGGCACATAAAGGTAATCTGCAATAAAGAAGAAATGAATGTTCACTGGAGATCTGACAAACTGTGGAGCATTTGTCAGGAAAAGAAGACAGGACTAGGACTGGGATAAGATCAGGCTGTGCTGCAGTGAGCAATGGTGTATACAGACAGGAAGCATAGTGATGGGTAGCAGAGAGAAGAGGAAGAGACAGTACAATGATCGTTCAGGAGACTCATTTCTAGATTGGCAAGAGGCTTGAAACAATTGCAGATTCAGGGGTTGGAGCAATAGCACAGTGGGTAGGGCATTTGCCTTGCAAGTGGCTGACCCAGGTTCAATTCCCAACATCTCATATGGTCCCCTGAGCACTACCAGGAGTAATTCCAGAGTGCATGAGCCAGCAGTAACCCCTGTGCATCGCCAGGTGTGACCCAAAACGGAAAAAAATTGCAGATCCAAAATTTCAGAGAAGCCTGGGCAGTTTGGTCTCTGGTAGGAGGGGAAATGTTAGTTTTCTAATGCTAGCAATTGCTAGCAATTGCTGACCTGCTCAGTAGAGACCACAGGGACTATTAAAAGCAATTGCTAGCAATTGCTGACCTGCTCAGTAGAGACTACAGGGACTATTAAAAGTCAGGGACTACAAGTCCACTGTGGCCTCCACTCTTCTTCCAGAAGCATCCACATCAGGTCTTTCTGGGTTCTTGTCTTACTCCATCCATTATCCCATGATCTGACCTAAAGCCACATTCATCTCTTAGTGGAACAGGATGGAGCCTCAGCCTCCTGTACTTTGTCATCACCTGCCCCCCAACCACTCTTTAGCCTCATTGCCAGGAGATTGGGTGATCCCTTTACAGGCCAACTTCTGGCATTGTCCCAAGGACATTGGACCCTTGGCAGTCATCTCCATTCCTGTAAAATCAATAGGGTTCCCTCTCTCAGCCCCAGAATGGGATAGCTCCATTCAGTACCCTAAAACCACAAGAGAGTCCAACAGTATTCATCTGTCTGTCCTACCAAGGAAATTCTTCCCCAACTTTTCCCTATACTTAAGCAAGGATGTGTGGTAAAGAAGATTCTTGTCCTTGCTTCTAAGAGCATACTACCACTTCTTATTTATCTGAGTTACTATCACAAACATGTGTTGACTGACTGCATAAGTCAGGATAACCAGGCTAAGATTCGGCCATTAATCATCCTAAGGGCCAATTCTGTTATCAACTTTTTCTGTGATGTTAAGAAATTTACTGATTTTTGGGCTGCAGTGATAGCACAGCAGGTAGGGTGTTTGCCTTGCACGCGGCCAACCCGGGTTCGATTCCCAGCATCCCATATGGTCCCCTGAGCACCGCCAAGGGTAATCTCTGAGTACAAAGCCAAGAGTCACCCCTGTGCATCGCAGGGTGTGACTGAAAAGGCAAAAAATGAAAGAAAGAAATTTACTGATTTGGGGGCCAGAGAGGTGGTATAGGGGTTATGGCTTGCCTTGCACACAGATGACTCTGGCTTAATTCCTGGCCCTGCATATGGTTCCCTGAGCCCCACCAGGAGTGACCCCTGAGCACAGAAATAGTATTAAACCATGAGCACAGCTTTGTGTGGCAAAAAAAGAAGAAAAAAAAAACAAGAAAAAAAGAAAGAAGAAAAATAAATTCATGTATCTATCTTTAAAAAGGAGTAGATAGTGTGGAATATTCTGGCATCCCAGAATTATAATGTGTATGTCACAGACATGCAGGAATTTGGAGCAATATTTAATTGAGGAATTATGTGTTTACACATTTTATTCTTTCTGCCAATATATTGCCAGTCATTTTTCAGGAATTATAAGTGAACAATAATTTAGTAACCTTCCTTAAATATCCAATCCAACATTTTATCACTCTAGTTCTTCCTATTAATAGGGAATTCCCTGTTTAAACAGAGAATCAGGGAATCCCATTTTCTCCAGTGTACTTTTCTGTTAGGATGCCAGGCTTCAGAGGGTTTCAGAGTAACAGGACACAGAATTTGTGTTCAATACTTACTTGTGTGATCTTAGATAAACAAGAGGCTTCATTCAGTATCAGTTTATCCAGCTACAAAATAGGGACAATAAACCTTTCTCAAAAGATTGTTAGAAAATGTAATAAAGTAAAATTTGCTGAATTAGTTGAATATCCATTGAATGGTGTCCTCAATAAAATTCTTCTTTTTTCAAAAGATGCTTCCTGTGGTCAGATAGATAGCTCAAATTTCTGAATGCATGCTTTGCATGCAGGATCCCCAGGTTTATTCTCAGCACCACATGTTCCCCTGAGCAATGTAAGGAGTGATCACTCTGCCACAACTTTTACGCTCTACCTCCACAGAGTACATGTTCTTGTAGGACACTGTAGGTCAGCCAGAACTGAATGATGTGTTGGAAAAAATGCTGTGTTAACATGGGAAGTAGGGAAGAACTTTCTGTTATGAATGGCTAGTAGGGAAGATCTTTCTACTATGAATGGTTTATATGACATATATAAACAATCCTGTACTGCCTGACCCTGTAAGATGAATTTCAGAGTGGATACTGGAAAATATACTCAACGAGCCCTTGAGCAATTGCCCTTACTCTGAGTTCCTACTATGCTTATAGTCTGATAAATAGGCCCAAGGGACTCCAGGCTGCCTTGACCACTCTTGTCCAAATGGAAAACCAATGACACACACCACATGTAGGGCATCCTTCAACAAGTCCTTCGGTTAGTTCACAAGGACATTAAGGTCATCTACATATCACTATGGTTAAACCTATGTGAAGTTGGAGATGACTAGAACTTGTTGCCTGGCATAAAATATTTAGGAAACTAGTGGGAAATACAGGTCAACAATGAGCTGAACTATCCTGGAAGACAAAATAAGGGGTGTACTAATCAAAGTCAGAACTGGACAACAAAAGGAATTTGTTTCACATGGGCCATTAAATTTCTCTCTGAGGAGAAGCATCTGACTTAATCCTAAAGTGACAGGTAGACTCACATCTGGCATGAAGGCAGGCATTCAAGGCTGAGAAAAAAATCCGTAGGCTAATCAGTAACAGTAGTGAAAACCACAATACCTAAAAGAAAAATGAGAGGGGGAGAGAGAGAAAGAGATAGGGAGGGAGGGAGAGATGAGGGGGAGAGAGTCTGCCATAGAGGCAGGCTCTGGGGTAGGAGAGAAACTAGAGACACTGGTGGCAGGAAATGTATACTGGTGAAGGGATGGGTGTAGGACCATTGTATGACTGAAACTCAATCATGAATATCTTTATAACTGTGTATCTCCAGGTGATTCAATATTTTAAATTAAAAAAATTAAAAATATCCTCAGACTCAAAAGCCTAAAACTTTGTGTGGTTCATGAGTCTGGACTTAGGCTGTGGGAAGCAGCTGGAGCTATGGCTGACTGAAAGAAGCCATTTTAAGGCCAGAGAGATGCTATAACAGGTAAGGTGCTTACCTTGCATATAGCACACTCAGATCAGATTCCTGGCACCCCATCTAGCCCTCCAAGCCCACAAGGAGTGATACCTGAATTTAGAAGCAGGACTAAGCCCTGTGCATAAATGGATATGGTCTCAAAAGTAAAAGAAGTAAAAAGAAAGAAGCCAATTTAAACGAAGGTGTTCTTTGCTTTCTCTACTGCAATGACTTGTAGTGTAAAGAGACGAGTTTGAAGTCAGTGCTAAGTTTAAATTTCCTCTGTTACTTCCTAGCTTGATGGCTTTTGCCAAATCTTTTCATCATTCTGAGCCCCAAATTCTTGTCAATATCGTCAGTATTGTCATGAAAGTTATATATGAGACAAAGTATCTAGGTCGCTTAGCACAGTACCCAGTCCATAGGTTGTTTCATAATTTCTACTAATAGTTGCATTAAAAATTAAGGTCCAAGAAATAAAGATAAAAAAGGCCTAACACACTGATTAATCTGGAGAGTATTTTTTGCTTTTTGGGTCACACCCAGCGATGCACAGCGGTTACTCCTGGCTCATTCACTCAGGAATTACGCCTGGTGATGCTCAGGGGACGATATGGGATGTTGGGAATTGAACCTGGGTCAGCCGCGAGCAAGGCAAATGCCCTATCCTCTGTACTATCGCTCCAGACCCTGAAAAGTATTATTGAGATGCTTGTTTGGAAGATAGCAGAAGAGTTGTTACTAATTTTTGAAGCTTGACATCTCCAATGACAATGTGTAGCCTTATTAAAGTTACTTAACATTCCAGAAACTCAGTTTCCCTATCTGCAAAATGGGATAACAATGCCTGTGTCAAACTTAATTACGATAAATTGAATGTTCCTGGCAGAGGAGTCGGGCAGCCAAAGGGCAGCTCTAATTGTTCCTACTGAAAGCTTTTTCTCTTAACCTTCAGACTTGTAATGGCTCTTTTTTCGAAATTTCAAAATGTGGTCTCATAAGAGCCATCAATTGGAACACACTTTTTCAGAAGGCCCAGAAATAAGGGATGCTTCATACCCATGTGGAGTCCAACTTCCATGAAGAGGCCCTTGCTTTGGGCTTAATGGACCAACCGCAGGCACCTTTATACAATCCAATTGCTCACTACTTTTGTCAGATTTCTCAATATCAATTCTTTGTCCTATTTGGTCCCGCCTCTAGGTTCAGTGCAGATGACCAAACTTCTGTTAAGTCAAAATGAACACAGAATAAAAGTTTTATTTTAAATAAATTCATGTCAAAATGTCTCAAAGACATTTATGTCTTTGAGAAGTAGAGGCAAACCTCTGAAAGAAATCCAAGAGCCACTACCAGTATCAGTCCTGATAGTGTGTGATAAGCCTTTTGTCTACTTCTCTCACCCTCCATTATTCACGTCCCCCTTACCCCACTATTTCCCCTACCAGAGAAAGATCACATTCTTCAGATAGATGAAACTTTATCATCATCATCAATTTGGATTGACTACTCCAAGAAACTTTATGTATTGTCGTGGTAAATAAGAGGACAGAAAATAGCAGGTGAAGTAACTTGGTAGGTTGAAGATGAACCCAATAGTAGTGGAAGGGCATAATGTTCATTTGCTTCCAAGAAACAGGAGTGAAGACCAGGTCCCATAAAATGTCTCCTAGCCACAATCTATAGAAGGGAAGCAAGACCTTCTCTCCAAGAACCATAAGTCAGGAAAAATGGAGCAGGTTTCCCAGCCACTGGTTTCACAGCCCTTTCACTCAGGATAGCCCTGCATGCCGTTTCCATGGAGTCACTCCTTCTCTGGGGTGAGCGATGCCAAACCCAGCAAAGGAGAGGTCCCCTCAAGAGCTCACAGAAGGGCAACCTAGCAACCTGTTCCTAGAGCCAGGAAATGAAAGAGCCATATCAGCAGCGGATTGAGGATTAGGTCAAATTGTGTTTCACTTTTAACACTTCAAAGAGGAAGAGGTTGCAAAGAAAGACAGTGTGTAAGGGGGGTGGTTCTTACATATTTCAGGTCACAGACTAATTTGAAAATCCACACAGCTCAGAAGAATATACAGAGTCTAAATTCTTAGCAAAAAAACTATTCAGGGGGCTGGAGAGATAGCACAGCGGGTAGGGCATTTGCCTTGCACACAGCCAACCTGGGTTTGATTCCCAGCATCCCATATGGTCCCCTGAGCACCGCCAGGAGTAACTCCTGAGTGCAGAGCCAGGAGTAACCCCTTTGCATTACCGGGCGTGACCCAAAAAGAAAAAAAATATTCAGGAACGACCCTAGGTAGGAATCGCTGCTCTGGAGTACACTGTCACAGACGCACTGGCAGCAAACAAACTTTCTTATTACCCAGAGCATGATTTGTTGCTTTGGGCAGAGGCTCGCTCACACACCCTTCTACAACTTAGAATCAACCACAGAGCTAGTTAAAAAGAATAAACCATGTACCCATCCCCAGGCCTCCAGAAGTGGAGTTCAGTAATCTGCTTTCTAAAATGCTCTCCCAAAGTTTCTGAGGCAGCAGACCTGCTACCACACTGGGTAATAGTACGGGTTCTGGTATGAAACTCGATCCAAATTTTGGCTTCACCTTGTAATTTCAAGACCTCTCTGAGCCTTAATCTCTACAAACTGAAGAAATACGTTGGGAGGCACAGAAGGGTGTTGTGCTCCATATGTGCATGTAAACTAACAGCTTCTTGTAGTGTTAGAAAGAAAAAGCTTCAGTTTCCCCTTCTGTAGAGTGGGTACTATAAAAAGTTTCCCATCCTTACCTCCACTCATCTCCTGGCTGTCTCCCCCAGCATTACCATCTTAACAAAAGTGCTATTGAAATTATTTGAGACCATCTCTGCAAAAGCAATTCAGCAGGGCAAATGTTAGGCATTAGGAGTACAATAGACTTAGGTGCAAAATTGGACGTGGATATTTATTTGCTTCATAATGCTGAGCAATACGCCTCTCAGTTTCCTAATATGGAAAATGGAGATAATAGTCCTTGCTCGCTCAGTCTATCGTCTATAGCCCCATTCCCATTTTGGCGTTTCTCCACTAAGCCTTAATCTAACAGTTGAAGAGTGTTTCAAACGATTAGTCTTTGAAATCAGACATGCCGCCCTGGGTATACGCGCGCTGCACTTTCCAGCCTTACTATCAGGAGGCTGAGCCTTTTTTCTCCGTTAAATGGGCTACTGCCTCCTCCTTCACAGGGCTGCTGCGAATAAATGAGATGTCTGTGCAAGCGTGTTTGCACACAGAATGCGTTCCAGAAACGCGTCTCAAACACCCCCCCCCCTACTCCCGCGCATCCTCCAAAGGTGAAGAACTCTTTTTGTTCACTTGATTTCTGTCCCACCTCGTGTGGAACGGCATCGGGTCTCCAAGAGGAAAAGGAGAGCACAAGCTGAAAGAGAGGGAGAAGGGAAGCGAGCAGGGAAGCGGCACACTCACGAGTGAAAGGCAAACCGGTGAGGTCCGTGAGTCCGAGCTGCACTTGATACGGCGCTGGCCCCCGCACCTGTGTGCCGCAGCCCCTCTGGCCCGCTCCCAGCCTCTAGCCGGCGATGGCCTCAAGGCCCCAGGCTGCGCTCAGAGGCGGTCCCGGGTCCCCGCTGATTGGCCGCGCCGCGCCGCTCGTCACGCTCTTTTGTCTCAATGGGCAGAGGCCGAAAGCAGCGGCGGCTGCTGGGAGCGCTTGTGGTTAGGCGGGGGCTGCTCCGGCTGCCGTGGGAACCGTTTTGCTTCCTCCACTCAGCTGCCCTGGCCGGGAGGCAGCGCAACCCGGCTCTGTTTCTGCAGCCCCAGGTCGCTCAGCGGCCGGGGAGGCGTCATCCTTTCCCCCAGGGGGCCGCGACGACAGCTACGGCCGCGGCAGCACCCACGACGGTCACAGCGACTGAGGTTACTGCCCACCAGAGCAGGAGAGGTAAAGGGGAGCAATTGCCTGGCACCAAGAGAGCAGCGGGGAAACCTCACGAGTACTGGGCTGTTTGTTCCCCGTCTTGGGGAAATCGAGAACTGCGAGACAGAGGAAGGGGCAGAAGGAGAAGGTGGGATGCCACCGGATGCTGCCTGATGCTAGGAGCTTTGGACGCTTAGGGGGCGGTAAGAGGGGCGGAGACTCGAATCCCCAGCAGTCTGCCTGGAAACTTTTGCATCCCCTCCCAGGGTGTGCACGCTCTCCAGCGGGCGTATCCAATTCCCATTCTTCTTCTTAGCGGGCTATCAAAGGCGAATCCGAATTTAAATTGTGTGCGGCCAACTGCAGAACTGTTGGTTGACGGTTTCCGGAGGAAGTGTGATAGGGTGGGTTTGACTTGTATTCAGAAGGTGGGCAAGGGATTTCTCCCCGCTCCTCCTGCAAAGATCTGGGTAGAGAAAGCCAGATGAGAAGTGAGACAGCTTCTGATTTTCCCTTGGTGAAAGAACAGTATAGACGCTCAGGAGATTGGGATTTACCACCCGCTGTGGACAGTTCCAACAGACTCTAGGCGAAGTTACTTAGGACCCCCATTGCAGAGGTAGGAAGGGAAATGAAGGAGCTCACTGGTTTCCCACCTCATCTGAGAATTGGTGCTAGAACATTATATGCCTAAAACTCTATTATCAATAACTTTGTAAATCACAGTGAAGTTTTAAAAAAAAATTTTTAAAGAAATCTAAGTAATAATTTTAAATTTTAAGAAGGGGCATGGTTGAGATCTGGAACCATGAGTTTTAATGGAGAAGTTAATTGTTATAAATTCGTGTTGCTTATATGAGTGCATTCTATTTTGAGAAGCCAACATAGCTCTACACATTGTTTTTCTTATACTTGGAATCAACAGTTGCATCCTGAGTGGAGAATTGACAGAAGGCAACTGATGTACCCTTTCACTTAAAAGTGCCCTGCCAACACAGAACCCACCAGCTCCAGTAGTTTGTAATTGCTAGTCTCCTGCATGGTATCTTTAGAGAAGTGGACAAATATAAAATGAATTGTGGGGTGTTTAGGGAGGCAAAAAAGTGACTGCAGACTGCCTGCCTGCAGTCCACTACTTTATTGATCTTATTTCCTCTTTTTCCATCCCTCCTGAGATACAAGGAAGGCAGAGACAGGTAACATTGCTTTGGGGATTCCTTCTGCAGATTAGATGTTTCTAAAAAATCTAAGCATCTTATATGCAGAATGAACATCATCATTGGTCCTGACCCAGAGAGTCATCTTTGTTGCCATGGGCCCCCTCCAGGCTGAGGTCTCTGGGGAGGAGTCTTAGTTCTTAAAGGATGACTTGATATGAGTGAGAATTTAGGTTTTTGTTCATTTGATTTTGAAAGGGGAGTAAACATCCCTTTCTAAGGGAAGGGGCCTTAGGAAACTGGCTGATCCAAGATAATAGAGTCCTGCCAGATTGGAGTAAGTCTGAAGAAGAAAATGCTCAAATGCCTGATGAAAACCCTTAGGGACTCCACCTATGAAGTAATTAGTTTGCTCTCGGTGGCCAACTACAACCAAAGTGTGATAGATCCCTTGTGAAATTGCTATTTGGGGAGCCTGAAAGTCTGAAAGCTCAAAGGGGGCCTCATGATAGATTTTTTACCACCCTGCTTCCCTTTCCATGATCCTTTTGAGGTACAGCTCCAAAATACTGCCATTCAGGTATGGATCATGGCTGAGAAAGATGTAAATCAGACTCCTGTGCCAGGCCCTTTCAGCAATTTTGCTGAATAGGGACTAATTCTTTGGACTGAGACAATTAAGGATATATCCAAGTGAGCCAGCATATCTGCCGAAGGTCCTGGAATTTATCACAATGATGAGGGAAATTATCTTTCAGAAGAAACTAGCCTTTGGATGACCTTCTTTTGCACTATCTTCCTCATTCTACATACTTTCCCTTAGTATCCACCTCAGTTTACCCCTCTCAGATATTTTGGTGCCTACTTAGAATCTTTCTCCTCCAGATCCTCCTATCATAGTGAAAATTAGAACCTGTACAATTGTGATTCACTGAAAATGCATTATGTGCCAAGCACTTTTATATTGAATATTAATATAATATTGAGTTTTGTATTATTAAATATTAAATATATTGTTTTATATAAGCACTGTAAATGGAGGAGCTCTTTATTCATCTGAGCAACTGGTCTTAGTCTTACTTTCTAGTTCAAAATTACTGTTAATCACTATAGTTGCCATATGCTTCAGATGAAGAAACAGGTTGGAAAGTGAGGAAACTACCTAGGATCACGTAGCTCTATAGTGAGCTACTGAAAAGCTTGTACTCATTTGCGTGAGTTCTTATGTGCAACATCCAAGTTGAAGGTGGCATTACAGACATGAACCTATTATCCAAACATAGAGGCAAGTGGCTCTGTATCACACAGGTTGAAATTAGTTCTCCCTTAGCTTGGCAATCACCCCAATCTCTTTCACATTTCCATCCAAATACCGGGTTATATCCTGTCTGCTTCAGGTGTAAATGATCCTGCTTTTGACTTATGAAAAAAGAGGCAGCTTCAGAAATCATGGGGGGTTGGGGCGGGGTGGGGGGCAGGGGGTAGGGGTAAGGTGGGGGATGGAGAAGGAATGAATTGTTCAGTTAGTGTTGCTAGAGGAACTGCATTACCTGGTCAAAAAGAACAGTTTACTTTTTCATAGCAGTACAAGTGAATTCCAGATCAATTTAAGAAATAAATGTGGGTCTTAAGCAATCATATAATTACTCTTAGTGCAATATGTTCTGATGAAAGAATGAAAAATATCAAATGTTCAAAATCCCCCTTTTTTAAAACAAGAAAAAACTTATTAAACTTTAGATTGGAATTTATTTTTTTAAAATAATGTTAGCTATTCACAACCACAATCACAAATCATCCTGTTAGTCGTCGATTGATTGCCTCGAGCAGGCCCCAGTAACGTCTCCTTCATTCTAGCCCTGAGATTATATTCAAGGCTCTTTAGGAGAATGAGACCCATCATTGTTACTGGTATTTGGCATATTGGGTACGCCACAGGGAGTTTGTCAGACTCTGCCAAGTTTTAATAGTTAGCTATTAAAACTTACATAAACACAGATAGCATAAGGATCAGGTGTGCATGTTTTGCACATGCAGGGGGTTCTTACTGGTTTGATCCCCAAAACCACACTCCCCAGGGTGGTCTTGGTGGTCCCCTACTCCCCAGTACAATGGGGCCTAGCAGTATGGCAGGCATTTAGTACTGTACTGCAAGGCCCTACCTCTGTCCTATTTGGCTGAATTTTAAAGGGGGTGACCCCAGGGTTTCCTGAGCTCTGCTTAAGAGATACCCTAACTCCAACCTCACAAAAGACTAGCAATTTTCTTTAACTCACTCCCTTCCCTGCCATTTATTGTTATGTTGATCTGGGATCTCAACAGCCCATGTTACTTTGTTCAGAATACAGGGGATTCTAAACACTAATGAAAGACTAAACTTCACTTCCCCCTTGCCATCCTCTAATAACAATTCTGTTCTTGACTGTCCCCATTCTACATTTTTAACACTCCTGCAAATTCCTGGGCTCATTCTGATAAATAGAAGTTAACAATTGTCCAACATCTTAAAATTCTGCCTCCAAGCTAAGGATCTCTAGGAAGCTAAGAGTGGAAATACCTAAGACAAAAGACCGGGCCACTCAGGATCCTTGATCCTTGCATTCTTCTCAAATTTTAAGAAATGCAAAAAGCTCATGTTTTCCCTTTTTTAAGAGCTCAATTTTTTCATTTAAAAGGCCCTACACTAAACTCCTTATCTTCACTGCATTCTCTGTAAAACAAAGACCCAGTTTTCCTATAACCTGTAGCCTCCACTCCCACCCCTGCCAAAACAAAACAAGTCATAGCTAATTTAGTCCTGTAACTCTAACTTCATCCCCACATAGAGTTCTTTTTCCTTTCACTTCTATTTTTCAACAAAATTTTTCTACTTTGTAATTCTGAGTCTGAGCATCTTTATGACTCAATACTTTCATTTTGAAAATATGGAAGAACCTGAGAGTCATCGACCAACACAGAGGCCTGCTATCATGGCTCCTATATTACTAACATGGGGTAGCACCGGGAATCAAAATTCTGGCCTGCCTGCAAGGTAGGTGCTCTACCACTGACCTCTCTTCAGGCTCTGAGTTGTAGAAGACTTATAGTTTTATATCATATCGAAGTATTATAGTGTATAATAGCTCTGTAGCACTGTCCTCCCATTATTCATCGATTTGCTCTGGCGGGTACCAGTAATGTCTCCATTGTGAGATTTGTTGTTACTGGTTTTGGCATATTGTATACGCCACAGGGAGCTTGGCAGGTTCTGCTGTGCGGGCAGCATACTGTCGGTAGCTTGCCGGACTCTCCGAGTGGTACGAAAGAGTAGAATCCGATTCGGCCGAGTGCAAGGCAAATGCCCTATCCCCTGTGCTATTGCTCCAGCCCATAATGTGTAACTCAGATAGTGTATAACACTACTAAAATGTCTTACAGTTAAATAGCTATTGTCCCAATCACTGGAA